CTTTAAAATAATTCAAGTTGGGCTTCCTTCCTTTCTATTTTTCATATGGAATGGATTGTGTTTTGCTATGGGGTACTCGATTTAGTATTCGGTTAGCCGTAAGAATGGCTTTCCCCCCACAAGTTCTGTGGCAAACCAGAACTTATTAATAATGCATTCATCATCTCCTTTAATGAACGATTCTTTCTTTCTGCTCCCATTGGATTGGGGCGTGTAAGGGGCCATTGTTTGATGAATAATTCCATATTCTAAACATATTTGTTCAAAAGGAGATTTATATTCACCACCCCTATCACTTCTTATCATTTTGATTTTCTTGTTAAGTTGCGTTTCAACTTCATTTTTGTATTGCTTGAATGCGTCTATTGCTTCATCTTTACTATTAAGTAAGTAAACATAGCAATATCGAGTACTATCGTCAATAAAAGTTATGAAATACTTCTTTCCACCGCGAGATGGTATTGACTTCATGTCGCAAATATCTGTGTGAATTAAGTCTAAAGGATTTGAATTCCTTTCAACTGACTTATAAGGATGTTTATCATACTTAGATTCCACATATATTTGACATTTTGATTTGTCGCATTCAAATTTAGGCAATACTTCCAAGTTAATCATTTCTCGCAAGGTTTTATAATTGACATGATCCAAGCATATATGCCATAATTCATTTGACTCAAGTAAGTACGACGAAGCTGAACTTTTATTATTATTCTCAACAACCATTACATTGAGCTTGAAAAGGCCTCAGTGTGGTAACCTTTTCCTACAAACATTTCGTTCTTACTTATTACAATCTTATCGGAAACAAAAACACATTTAAAACCGTTCTTAACAAGAAGTCCAGCAGAGACTAAATTCTTCCTAATCTTAGGAACACGAAGGACGTTGTTCAAAGTCACCACCTTGCCAGAAGTCATCTTCAAAAAGATCTTCCCACATCCTTCAATCTTAGCGGTTGCAGCATTTCCCATAGAAAGAGTCTCTTCGGGTCCAACATGAGCATATGTTGCAAAAGAGCACAAACATGGCGAGTGGCTCCCGAATCAATCCACCACTCCTTAGGATTTCTCACCAGGTTGCATTCAGAAAGCATGGCACACAAGTCATCAACATCTTCATGCTTTTCAACCATGTTTGCTTGATCCTTCTTCTTGTCTATCTTCGGAGCGCGACATTCCGTAAATTTGTGCCCAGCTTTCCCACAGTTGTATTTCCGTTGAACCGCTTCTTGCTTGGGTTGCTTTTCGGTCCAGAAGCCCGCTTTCTCTTTCTCTTATTTTGAGAAGTATCTTCAATAATGTTTGCTCCCATTATTGTTTAGTTTCCACGGCCTCTCTTTTCATCAGCTTTGTCGTCCTCTTCGGTTCTCAACCGAACAATGAGATCTTCAAGGGACATCTCCTTGCGTTTGTGTTTCAAGTAGTTTTTGAAGTCCTTCCACAAAGGAGGCAACTTCTCAATCATCGCCGCTACTTGGAATGCTTCATTGATGACAAGACCTTCAATGAAAATTCTGTTAGTAAAAATACTAAGATTACTACTTTCAACATCAGTATTAATTTGATTTATACCTTCAACAAGGAGGTCGTGGATAATCACTTGCAATTCCTGGACTTGGGTAATAACATGCTTGCTATCTACCATTTTGTAGTCCAAAAACTTGGCGGCAACGAATTTCTTCAACCCGACATCTTCAGTTTTGTATTTCTTTTCAAGGGCAGTCCACAATTCTTTTGGCGTCTCTACGCCATTGTAGACATTATACAAATCGTCCTCCAGTCCGCTAAGAACATAATTCTTGCACAGAAAATGAGAATGCTTCCACGCCTCAATCACGAGAAGAAGTTCATTCTCTGGAGTTTCATCGGCAGAACGGGAACATCTTCCTTGATGAACTTTTGCAAACTTAAAGTAGTCAAGTAGAAGAACATTTTCTGCTGCCACCACCTGAAATCTAACCCGAAAATTTTTTCGGGTTTCTCCGCCGGTGCCAATGCCGGTGTTCGGCTTGTTGATGCATTTGCAGTCACCATTGGAACAGCCTGGTTCCCGTTATCATTAGTCATTTCTGTAAAAGAATGACACAAACAAACGTTAAAATCACGTAGATTTTAATCTTCAACGGAGTAAAAACCACAAAGGTTTTAAACTCCAAAATAGTAAATATAACAAAAATACAGAATACAAATTAAATTCCTTAAGCTTGTTAGTAATCTGTATTTGTAAACTAATTCTGGAAAAAACAGAATAACATATAAACAGAAAATGTAAATAAACAATAGTTAATCCGAGCCCACTGAATTCACAGTGTTTCCTTAAGGAATTTAATCCCCTCCTAGTACTCAAGGTTATGGATTATTTTCTCCCAGGATAGAACGAATTACACACTGGTGTAGTGGTACTTCAAACCCCAGTGTTTCAGCGAACACAAAGTTCGGCAGCAAATCATACTTATTGTTGCTGTCTTTGAAGTTGAAACAATGCAGAAGATGGAGGATAAACTGAGAAAATCGTATGGAAATTCTGAGAGAATGGACTTGTATTTATAGCCAATGTTGGGCTGAAAACTGAAGAGGTGCAACTCTTCAGAATGGCTGTTTATGCAAAACGGCCATAGCATAAATACCATAACATAAATGGCTATTTACTCAACAATAAACAGGGAAAATTGAAGAGGGAAATTTAATTTTCAGTTAGACAACTGAAAATTGATTTATTTTGGTCCAACAAAATAATTCAATCAATCGATCATTTGACCGAAGCCGAAGCCGAGCCGAGCGAGCGACGACGACGCGAGGCTTGCCTTCTTCTCAACTCTTTAAGAGCTAGAAGAAGAGTAATTGCTTATATACTTATCAAAACCTCTTGCTCTTCAATATGGGACAATGTCCCTTTGTCAAGGGGGGAAACTTATAATTTCACTTAAAAATTTCATTTCCCTCCATTTCCCATTTACCCTCTTTTAAGTATTTAATATACTTAAAACCCCAACATGTATATATTATGCTAGTCCTTTCATTCCTTGAGAAATAATTAAAGATAATTTAATAGTGTTGTGAAAATGGATTTTGGTTATATACAATGACAGTGTACAAATATTTATACGTTTAAGTTGCTTAAAAGGCTATAACAACGATAAGTTATCAGATGTAACAGATTAAACTATACGATATGAATTGTATAAAAAGTATTTATACTTGCAAGCTCATGCTAACTTCAAATTCTAAAATCAAACTTTGCCCCTATTTATAATACTAGTGACTAATCGCACTTGAGGCTTGTGTAACTTGGTTAAAAAATTCAGACAGTATGATAAATATAAAACATTTACATAAAATTAAGAAGAACTATAAGTTGATGTTGGTCCATTATATGATTTTATTACAATAGGCTAATGTTTTGACTATCTCCTTTGATTTTGGAAGTTTTACTTTGACATTCTAGAATGGTCAACCATTTCGTATGGAAAATAAGTACATCACTATCTATATGTTTAAAGATGATGAAATCCTAATTTTGAGACTTTAACTAACCACTAATAAAATAAATGAAGCGGTCTCAATTAAACAGATGCATTGAATTTTTTAAGGAGTTCTTGTGTCATCTTGTGAATGTCAAAGTCAAAATCGGCCCAAAACTAATGAATCAATTGAGTGTTAAATAATGAGATCGATCACATTATATAGCTGCTTTCAAAATTTTATATATTTTTGCAGCTATCAAATATAAATAATTCTAACCGCAAGGTAAAAGTGATTTTTGCCCTTAAATGATGAGGTCCTTGTTGTTTTCTATGTTTAAGGTATTCTATATCCATTTCTTTCATCCTTTACTTAAACTGAAGAATTGTACTATTTCTACAGTAATTTTAATTTTGTCATCAAGTAACAGGTTGATAATCAAATTGAACTATTTTAGCTATTTAAAGTCAAGATATTGACGGGTTAATTTGAGTTTAGCTTATTGTTACCTAGTCTTAATAGTGATCAAATTTGATGAGGTTGATCGAAGTATAGTTTGACTAATTTTAACAACCCTAACTAGAATGCTCAATTATATAACAAATTGTGTTTCTATTTTAAAATGGTACAGGATTACTGTAATTTCAAGCCATTGTTTTCTCTCTTCTTTTTTTTTTTTTTTGTTTGTGTGTATGTTGGAAGATATTGTCATCTACAATTTTTTTTTTTAATTTTTTTTTTAAAGAAGAGCTTAGAAGTTTTTCAGTTGTTTAATTATTCCAACTTTGGAGGAAGGGGTAAAATGGGGATAGAAATGCCTAAAGCACATTAACTTAAATTTGCGGAAAGTATCATAATCGTCCAATAACAAGAGTTATAATCTTTCAAACGCACAATTTGAAAAATCCACAAGATCTCTAAACTATATGATACAAAGAATATAATATTAATTTTAATAGAGATTAAGAGCCCGTTTGGACATAAGAAAATTTTCATATTTTTTCGAAAAAAAATTTATTTTTTTTCGAAATTAGTGTTTGGCCATAAAATTTTCAATTGAATTTTGAAATTTTTTAAAAATTTGAAAAGCCCCAAAAAGCTATTTTTCAAAAAAATTCACGCAGATCACTTACAAAGCTTCAAAAACAACCCAAAATTATACAAACACAACTCAAATAATTTTCAAATACCATTTTAACTTGAAAAAGTTCACTTTTTATTGGAATTTTACAATTCCTATGTCCAAATAAAATTCCAAAAAAAAGTGAATTTTTTTTCTTTGAAAAGAAATTTATTTTGGAAAAAGTATTTTGTGAATTAGAAAATATTATATTAAGGATAAACTAGTTAAACTAAAAGTGCTTATAAGCTGAAAAGCCATAAGTTGGGATGACCAACTTATGACTGATTTTAGTTTATAAGCACTTGATTTATAAGCACTTTGAATATTTACCAAATGCGTAGATAAACTCAAAGGCGCATATAAACCGATTTGACCGTTATATAAGCTTAGCCAAACACGCTCTAAATGCTGTTCGAAAGATGAGTGGGCAAAAAGCAGAAAGCAGAGAGAGTCGCTTTCGAGCTTCAGAGTGTCAGTCTCAAAATTTTCCTTTAACGTGAGAACGCGCTGATAAAAAAATCATTCACACAGCCTAACTATGACTCTTCTTCTTCTTCTTCGCCGCCGGACCACCACCTATTCCAACAAAGCTCCTTCTCCTACTACTCTTTCTGTTAATTCTCTACTTTTCTTTCACAAGATTCTCCTTTATTTTCCACCATATGCTATAATTTTTCATATTCTTCTTTCCCTCTGTTCTTCCAATTTTAAGGTACGCAATAATTATGAATAATGATTATTACTATTGATTATTATTCTTAGGTTTCTTATTTTACCTTTTATGGAATTGATTATTTTACCATCTTGTTTCTTTTAGTGATGCAGCTAAAACTATAGGAAGTTTAACGAGTCAAGCTATCAAATTCATTTGCCTTTTGACTTTTTTGCTCATTTTTTTTTCTTTGAAAAGAATATATGTAAAGCGACCTTAATTCAGCTGTATCCAAAGAGTGAATTTGTAGGGATGGAGCTAAAATACTAAATTTTTAGTAAATTTAAGGCATCGAGCTATCAAATTCCTTAGACTTTTTTGACTTTTTTGGTTTATTTATTTATTATAGAAAATATGTAGGCAAACCTTAATTCAACTGTAGCCAAAGAATAGCGCTTTAAACCTCCTGCAATTTTAGTGAGTTCTTAATGCAAAATGAAAAGAATATTTGTGCTTACAGGGTATCCGCGGTGAAGGCTAACATGTAATTTACTCATCTAGGGGCACTATCAATTGATTAGAATATTTGTCCAGCAAAACGCAAACTGACATGAGTTGTTGCTTTTTTGGTGCCCGGAAAAAGGGTGGTGATCTTGTTCATCATGATACTAGAGATACACGAGGTTAGTGCCTATTTAAAATTGGGATAGTAGCTGATGAGTTGTTTTCTGGTTTTGTCAATTTATTTGGTTGTTTGGAGGACTTGTTTGCAACTTTATGCGCTTCGCATGACACTCTGGCTGACCCTATTATGAACTTCCTAGTCACAAAACTTCACAGGTTAACTTGATTCATGTATTAAACAAATTTGAAAGAAGGTAAAAGTGTTGATAGAGTAAGAAAAAAGGACACTGGAATGAGAAACATACCAATCAAAGAAAAAAAAAAAAGACACTGGAATGAGAAACTTAAGAACTACAGCAAATATCATACCAAAATCAGAAATGAGTAGATTGAGTGGATATGCAAGTTTTCAAGGCTTATGAAAGTCGAATAAAAAAAAGACTCTATGACTTGCTAAAATATGTTCGATTTTGTTAGGGAGAAGAGCCAATTATCCAAGTGTGTTACAAGTGTCTTATCTATCAGATAATTGGTCAAGTGTGTTACATTTGTGCTATTTATTATGATAAACAAGTTCACTTTATGGAGTAGTGTGAAGATTCATTAGTGATCACATTCTTTAGAGGATGGCAAGTTCCATTTTGTCTGTTTTCTCGGGAAGCCACATAAAAATTCTGATTCTAACTCTCACAGGAAGATTTGATGCCTTACATTGTATTCTTGGTCCTAATTAGACGGCTTAAATAATTTCTTATTACCTCATTTTATGCACGACAAATAAGATAGTTAGCCTCTATTCTGCATTTTCATATACCATACATATCTTTTATTTTTGGCAGGCCGCGCAGTTGCAAGCACAAAGAATTTTTCATTTAGTGAATTAAGAATAGCAACCAACAACTTCCATCAAACTAATAAAATAGGGCGAGGCGGTTTTGGCACAGTATACAAGGTACAGCTCTATTCTGTTATTTGATTTTCATGATTGACTCCCTCTTTAAAAATAATTGTGTAATACGGCAATTGTCTTTGCTTCTGAGGTTAAGACTTTAGTAAATACTAACCAATTTCGTTGTCTTTAATTACATTGATATGGTTCTTGTTGCTGGTTATCAACTCCTGTGCAATTTGTAGGGAACTCTAAAAAGTGGAAAAGAAATCGCTGTGAAGACACTTGCAGCGGAATCAAAGCAGGGTTTGCGGGAGTTTTTGACTGAAATTGAGACCATATCAAATGTCAGACATCCAAATCTAGTTGAGATAATTGGATGTTGTGCTGATGGAAATAACCGGATTTTGGTCTATGAATATTTAGTAAATAGAAGCCTTGATCAAGCACTGTTTGGTAATTGCAGAGCTTCTGGTGAAGTAAAAGATTAACGTCAGAGTTATGGAACGGGCTACTGATAGTGGCATTTCTCTTTGCAGGTTCCAGGATTAGCATTAAGTTGGAATGGGACAAAAGGGCTGCTATTTGCTTGGGTACCGCTCAAGGTCTTGCATATCTACATGAAGAACTAGTGCCACATATCGTGCACAGGGACATAAAAGCTAGTAATATTCTACTTGACAAGGATTATACACCAAAAATTGGAGATTTTGGGCTTGCCAAGCTTTTCCCAGATAATATCACCCATATCAGCACGAAAATAGCGGGAACAACGTATGTCTTCCTCTGAATTTTTAGTCGAACCCCTCTATGTTTTGCGTGGCTGAAAGTAGGACCTTATGGCTTCGTTTGTTTTAGGGTGTAATTAGTTGTAAAGATATCATGAGATGCTGTGGGTTTCTTTAACTCTAAGTAAATTAAAAAGGGGTGGAAAAACAATGCTGGAAATGAATGCCATGAAGTAAAAAGGTAGAAATGAAGCTTTTACAGGTGCCATTCATATAACTAGGGTCCTTTGTCCATCTTTTTTCTTTTATCGGTTTTGTGATAGCTACTTTTTTGTGGTGGCTGTTTGTCTTGGGTGAAGAGTCAAGTATGTGCTTCTTGAGAACTTTAGTCTATGAGAGTCAAGTATGTGCTTCTTGAGAACTTTAGTCTATGAGACTATGAAACACTTCTATAGATAGAACCAAAAACTGAAAAAACTAGGTTGCTTAGGCTTGGAAGCAATATGTGCCCCTACTATGCCTAATGATCAATTCACTGAGTGAATGAGCATGAATTAGAACCATATGAATATGGAGGAGTCATTATAAATTTGCTTGAGATTGAGGTATAGTTAGTTTGATTCATCACTACAGATGATTAGTTTCATAAAGTAAAAAAAATGTTGGTAAAAACGTGTGCATTAAATACTTAACTACTTTGTGCTTGGCATTTACTCTTATATCTCATAGTACACATATAGTTCATTATTACTATATGGTTAAATGAGAAGTCGATGCATCTTTCTTTTTTCTGTCCTGCAGTCCTAAAAAGAATTCAGTGGAACATATATACATTGTTGTAATATATCCGCCTTATTAGATTGTTGAAAATTTATGCTGTTGTCTCATGAACTTATAAAAGAAAGTGTCTTTATATCCAATTAAACATTTAGAGGTGGTTATATCAAATAGGGTCATAACATTGAAAAGCAAGAAAGTCATAGTCCTTCTGATGATAAATTTTAAACTTTCTTTCATAAGTCAAATAAAACCATTCCTTTATGTATTTTAAAAGTTTGTATATGCTTTCCCTAGTATAAAGTTTGAAAATAGCCTTAATAGGATGTGTTTGACACATTTAACTACTGCTATTCTAAAGAAAGCGATAAGGCATGCAAACAAAAAATATGATTTATATATAGTTGACAAATGCAGAAAAGGATGCCTTAATAAAAACATAAACTGATTATTTCTTTTCTAGCTCTTTAGAATCATTTGTAAACAGTTGTATGAATATATGGATTCAAGCATTTTCAATTTCCTGAAGAATGAAGATCTGTTTTAAGATTATAGATCTCCAATATATTTGTTGGAGGCGAGTTTCTGACTTCTAGACCTTTTCGCTCTTCCAAGCAGTGGCTACCTGGCACCCGAATATGTATTAGGCGGACAATTAACAATGAAGGCCGATGTTTACAGTTTTGGGGTCCTAATACTGGAAACAATTAGTGGCAGGAGCAGCAGCAGTAGTATTTGGCGAGGGGATAAGAAGTCACTTCTCGGATTGGTGGGTCAGATTTTTCTAAGTTCCTTTATTTATTTAAAAGTATGGCATTCATTTCCTGGGTGTAGGCATCTAGAATCTGTTGCATGATTCATCTTGTATTTCCAACTAATAACCATATATTCTGGTTCATGCTAATGAAAATCACTGAACACCGCAAGGACATTTGGAGATGAATGCACTATATGAAGTCAAATTGAGTAGAGGTCTGTTAAAACAAATAAATAAATAAATAAAAGAACATAAGTGAATCCATCTCTAGTTATTATATGATTAAGCTTTTTTACTTGTCGCAGAGTTATACGAGTATTAATAATTATAGAATCTAACTGATAAGAAGTTGATAAGAAATGTTTCTTTGAATGGAGAAAAAAAGATATATTAAAGACAACAGTGCGAGTAAAAGGAAAGCAACGGAGATTTTGAGACTTCTTTTTCTTTTCTGAGTGTGTCATCAGAAAGGCTACTCGAAGCATGAGCTGATCCAATAAGGTATTCATTAGGCAAAAAAAAGCTAGTACCTTATTCTCTATAGGAGTTTCACTACCAGAAATTCATAATTATCTGGGGTAAGTAGATCCAAATTTCTAAATGGATGTTAGTATTATCAATTTGTCATTATTCAGAAATTGTGAGTTTTCCCTTTCTAGAATTATGTTGGTTAGGGCAGAAGTAGGAGGGTAAAGGGGATTCTTTGCTCAAATATTTTTTCAAAGAAGTCAAATGATGTCTGTTTGCTAAACTTTGCTTTCGAATCTCCCTTTCATTAGCTAGTTTTATGATGCAATTGTTGTTTCCAAACTTATTGACAAGCCAGTTATTCAAATCGAAGATGTAGCAACAGTAAGATAAATTCCAAAATGGATTGATTTATTCAGTTTGGTTAAGCTGAATCTCACAAATTTATGGCTATTTAGTTAGCAACCTGCAGCCTCTAAGCTATTTGTAAATGGAATTTTCTCCTTTCCCCTTTTTTCTCCATTCCGAGTGTTGAGTGATCAAATGATAGAAGTACAATTTACTGCATCAGGCCTGGCAGCTCTATCAAGACGCAAAACTATTGGACTTGGTGGATGAAGAACTGGATGATTTCCCAGAAAAAGAAGTTGTAAGGTACATCAAGGTAGCTCTCTTTTGCACCCAAGCAAATGCAAACAGAAGACCGATGATGAGCCAGGTTATTGAGATGCTTTCAAGAAATATCCAGCTAAATGAGAAAGAACTTACACCACCTGGTTTCTTCCAAGATTCTGATGCAAGCATGCTATCAAAATTGAAGTCGTCTGAGTGCAGTACAAGCCAACAGAGTTCTGTACCCCTCACAATCACTCAAGTGACCCCTAGATAATCATCATTAGTGACTTGCACTTGTTTGAGATTACCTCAAGAATGTAACGAGCCTGGGTTTGATTTCAACTCTAGCATTTGCTAAAATTTTTATCCGACAGTGGTGTCCCCGCCACTTTCAAATTCTGGGTCCGCCTCTGGTTGTCGCTAAGTTAAATTCAGTTTCAAGAATTAATCCACCACGTTATAAGATGCTGCAACTCGGGTTTCTCCTCTTTGTTGTTGTTACTAACAAGTTCATATTTGATGGGGGTCAGCTTCCAACCTTCCACTTTGTTACACAAGTACACATTATTACTTTGTTACACAAGTACACATTATTAGAAAAACAAATTTATATATTAGCTCATTTTCCGTATAAAATTAGTGCAAGTCAACCATAGAAAGATAACTTGGACTGTTTATTAGAGCTTTAGCATGATAAGAATACATAATACTGCTACTCCCAGACGAGGTGTTTCTTGCATGTTTTCCTTTTTGGCTATACAATTGAATGTCTTAATCATTGTGTTAATTTTCACCTAGATCGTATAAATTAAAAAAGATAAGTGGAAAGACTTAAGGATAGAGTTTAATTGTATGCTTGGCAGATGTTTCCACCTTATAATCAATTAACCCTTTTCTGGATTCTTCATTACACAGTTATGATCATCATGCCATTCGTTATATGGAGCTAAATCTTTAGTAAGTTTGACGCATCAAGAAGCTATCAAATTCATTTGCCTTTTGACTTTTTTGCTCTTTTTTTTTTGTTGAAAAGAATATATGTGAGCGACCTTAATTCAGCTGTATCCAAAGAGTGAGTTTGTAGGGATGGAGCTAAATCTTTAGTAAATTTGAGGCGTCGAGCTATCAAATTCCTTGCCTTTTTGACTTTTTGCTTTGTTTATTTATTTATTATAGAAAATATGTAGGCAAACCTTAATTCAGCCGTAGCCAAAGAATAGCGCTTTCAACCTCGTGCAATTTTAGTTTGTTCTTAATGCAAAATGAAAACAATATTTGTACCCACTCCGTTCTTTTTCAAATAACCATGTCGGGCCAGCTTGTGCGTACCTCGGCTAACTCCACGGGTGTCGTGTACGTATTACCTTCCACCAGCACCAAACGCTGTCTATTAAGGCTTGGACAGATGAAAAGAAATAATCTTGTGTTTTCTACCTTCGCTGGAACTATACCATATTTACTTTTACTGAATCAATGTTTTATCATTTCTTAAATTTTGTAGAATTTGTGTAGTACATTTTGTTGGGGCATGAATTTTCCATTTGAGCATAAAATGTTTTTCTTTGATAATACGTTTAACAAGCTGAAGGAGAAAAACTTTTTTGTGGAAAAAAAAGTCTTTTCTTTGTTTTCAGGATATCCATGGTGAAGGTTAACATGTAATTTACTTATCCGGAGTCACTATCAATTGATTAAAATATTTGTCCCGCAAAACGCAAATTGACATGAGTTGTTGCTTTTTTGGTGCCCGAAAAAAGGGCGGTGATCTTGTTCATCATGATACAAGAGATACAGGTGGTTAGTGCCTATTTAAAATTGGGATGGTAGCTGATGGATTTTTTTTCTTCTTGTTTTATGAATTTATTTGGTTGTTTGGAGGACTTGTTTGCAACTTTATGCGCTTGACATTGTGTCACTGACACTCTGAGGACCCTATAATCATCTGCTTGCCTAGTCACAAAATGTCATGATTTATGTATTAAAAAAAATATTCCCCTTGCTTGAATGTAAAGGGAAGAAAGAAGTACAACAAATATCGTACTAAAATAAGAAATGAGTAGATTGAGTGGATTTGCAAGTTTTCAAGGCCTATGAAAGTCGAATCAATATTGTGGTATGCGTGCATATGTCAGATGTGTTGAGGGTGAAGTGATGAGGAAATGATACAAAATGCTCACAACTGTATCATAAATTATCTTTAATACTTTTTAGATGCATTGCACATTTGGTTCTAGACGATTTTTGACTTAGGCATAAGCGTCGCCAATGCAAAAGAATTGTCTGCTGGATTGCTTTGATTGTCTTCACTAGAGATTGTCTTAAGTAAATCCAAGACGGTCCATCCTGAAGTACGAAAGACACCCAAGGCAATAAATTGAAAGGTTCAATGTAAGGATCGAGAATAGAGTTCTGAATGTACCTGCTAATTGGCTTGCTAAAATATGTTCGATTTAGTTAAGGAGAAGAGCCAATTATCCAAGTGTGTTACAGGTGTCTTATCTATTAGATAATTGGTCAAGTGTGTTACATTTGTGTTATTTATGGAGTAGTGTGAAGATTCATTAGTGATCGCATTCTTTAGAGGATGGCAAGTTCCATTTTGTCTGTTTTCTCGGCATGGGTGGCTCTAGGGTAAAGCCGCTAAAGCTTTTGCTTTAGGCCCCTAAGAGTCAAAAGCCCCTAAAAAAATTCATAGTTATAATTATTTATATTTGTAAGATTTTTTTTAAATTAACAAAATATTAACATTTTGTTTCAATACACTACATTGGCTTTAGTTATCAAATATTTTATTACTTGATGTGAATATTTGCATAATTTAACTCACATTTTAAAATATTAGACAATGTTGTATTGTGGAATACTCAAAAGAAAACTTAAAACCTTGAAAGAAAAATTGTTAAGACCGTACAATTTTTTCTTGGTTATCTAAATTAATCATGTCTATTTGTCCAACCGTTATCATATTACTAATGTTATTTCCTCACATCTTCCTAAGTTTTGGCTTTAGGCCTCCGATTTCATTGAGCCGCCCCTGTTTCTCGGGAAGCCACATAAAAATTCTGATTCTAACTCTCACAGGAAGATTTGATGCCTTATATTGTATTCTTGGTCCTAATTAGTTGCCTTAAATAATTTCTTATTACGTCATTTTATGCACAACAAATAAGATAATTAGCCTCTATTCTGCATTTTCATATACCATACATATCTTTTATTTTTTGGCAGGCCGCGCCATTGCAAGCACAAAGAATTTTTCATTTAGTGAGTTAAGAATAGCAACCAACAACTTCCATCAAACTAATAAAATAGGGCGAGGCAGTTTTGGCACAATATACGAGGTACAACTCTACTCTAAGAATACATCTCATGCTCTTTCATGCTCGAGTTTTATGCATGGACAACTTATTTTGTGTCTTTTGCATAGTGCTGTTTACAGTGTTACATTCTTGGATGCTAAGGTTTATTTTAAGTTACAAAAGTAGACTGATTTCTGAAATTCACAAAATTCTGCATTCCTGTGAATTGGCAGTAATGGTATTTACAAATGAAGTATTGAAGAGAGAATTACAAGCGGAAGTGAGTGTACTATGGTTGAGAATGTAGTGCCCATTCTGAAGACTATCAAGATCCACTGGCCTCTTCCGAGAAGGGCCCCGCAAAACACAAGCAATAGAAGAAAACAGAGCCAAACAATTAATTTGCAGAATTAGTTGAGCAAGTGAAACTAGATTATATTAAAAAGAAGTAACAAGAAGCACATTTTTCAAAGAAATTTCAGGAGTTAAGGTTAAAGTCCCAGTACATGTGACTTTGACCTTGTAACCATTAGGCAATGTAACAAAATAGGAAAATATTGCTGAAGGATTTTATTAATTGTGTAAATGAAAATCTAAGTCTATACAATACACAAAGCACTAATATATACAACTTGGGCCAGATACATTAATTTAAGGAAATTTTACCTCCTATAGCAAAGGTTAACACCTTATTTATTTTAAATAAATACCATTTTAAAAAATTATATTCTATAGATACCTTTTAATGTTTATAGCAAAATATCAATTTTGGTTACCTCCTAACCCTAAGCCACTAAATACGCTATTCAGTTACACTATTTTCTTTCTCTCTCTACTTTAATACATGCCATTCTCTGAAAACACGATGCTCAATCTCAAAATTCCTCTTACCCACATCACCTACCATTAGTCAAAAACCCCACGCTTTCTCCTCCCTCCTGTACTTTCAGACGACCCTTCAGATCTTCAAACTATCAGGCCTACTATTGACAACATAATTGAATTGCTCATCAATAAGAGAACAAGAACCGAATTTGTACAAAGAATAAGACTCATCTGTAACCCAATTCCCATCAAAGAAATCACAATTCAACAAAGACTTAACCAAATCTTCATCTCATTTCTTCACTGACACATCCAAATTTGTCCCATTTCTCTGCTTCTTCACCAAAGAAGAAGTGAAATTTTTCTTCACTTCCTTCTCTATAATTCCCTTTTCTCCATTCCCATTTGCAATTTTGTCCCCAAAAGAGGACTTTTGTGCTGAATTTTCAGTCTGATTCACATTAGCTGGAGACTTTGTAGCCTCAATTGTGCTCTGATTTTCCTTCAAAATTCCAACTTTATCATCAATTTTTTTTACTTTGAGTCTGATTCACATAAGGGAAGCGAGGTTCAAAACACATAAACAGAGAGAAAAAGAGAGAGGACGCAGTAGATTTCGAGCCATATGAGGATTCATCTTCATTATTATTTAGTAAATAGATGAAGAATCAGAGTCAAAATTAAAACTTGGAGACACTGAATTTTGAGCCAGAGGAAGACAATATGAGGGACGAAGATCTGCTGGGTTTATGGTTTTACGATGAAAAGAGTTGCTGGTTCTTGGTTTTTATGCTGTATTTTCATGTATTTCATTGTATTCATTGTCCTTTTTCTCATTGTAATTCAATGTATCTTGTTGTATTTCATGTATTTCATTGTATTCACTGTCTTTTTTTTATATTGTGTTTCAATGTATCCCGCTGTATTCTATGTATTTCATTGTATTCACTGTCTCGCTATACGCCATGAATGTATTCATATATTTTTTTAATTAATATAATTTATGTAGTCAGATGTATTATATAATTTCTCCGAAGATTTCTGTGTTTTTGGGGTATTTTTCGGTTGAGAGTCTTTTTTATAACTTGAAATACAAAATTTATGTGTTATAATTGAGTTTGTTGAGTTATATTAGGAGTCTATTATGTTAATTGATTCACTTTCCGTTTAAAAACAGTGTAATTCCCTGTTTCACGCCGTGAATATAGTCGAATACAATAGTCTGTCCAGCTGTAATCCCATGGTTCACGCCATGAATACAGTCGAATACACTCGAATACAACAACTGATTAGCTAGACTTCCCTGATTCACGCCTATTTTTGCTACTGTGTTCATGAATACAGTAGCTTAAATACATCTAATACATCTTATAACAATAGAAAATGTATCTACAATCCGTAATATAACAAATGATATCTATAAATAGCTAATTACCACTAAAAGATAGTGCTTTATGAAATTTCTCTTAATTTAATCACTAGGCCTAAATACAAATGA